CCCACGGTTTCCGGAAACTAGTACCTCCGAGGTACTAGTTTTTTGCCACGCATCTTCGGAGGGAAGCCTCGGTTGAGCCACGGGAGCTCTATGCTTCCCAGATGTGGTGGTGAGATTGAGCCCGGAAAATCCGCCTATCTTCCGTCTCTCTAGTGTGGCTACTGTTCCGTGTGACCGCAGCCTTTAATGATTATTTTTTCAAACTAAGGAAGAGATAAAAGGTGCCATTAAACTGCCAGTTCCAGGGTTATAAAGCCTCCCTATACTTGCTCAGTGGGGTTAGCAAGACACTCTGTACACTCTCAGATGCACTGTCATCCAATAGAAAACTAGGCAGAAAACAAACAAAATGGAATAAAAAATTAGCCCAGTAAAGTCAGGGAATGTTCCCCAATTCTTAGAAAAGAGTAAGTTGTCCAGAAAATAACAATGAACACTTGGGAACTAAGACACAAATATCTTGGCAACACCAAAATGACAGTCAACATTTTACTTGAACAACATTCATTACAGTTTGGAAACTGCCACATTGACCTAATACTGTATTGGCAATGGCACCCATTCACTTTTACTTTTACGAAAGAAGAAATCTTTAGAAATGGAAATGCTTTAGCAGAAAACGAAAGTACTGGACAGGTGTGTGTGTGTGAGGTTTGCTATGTTGTTTTTGGTTTTAGCTGAAAATGTATTACTGTGACCTGACTTGAACCACAAGGAAAATGGACATATACGTTTTAATAAAATAAATCACATATTCCAAAAGCAACATTGGCAAAATCTGAGCATGCCGAAATGTAGCGACTGGAGTTGTAAAGGGGAAGACAGATCTTTCTAGAAACCGAAAATTCCCCCAAGGTTGCAGAAAAATATGAAATATATTAGGAAAAATTGTTAACAAAGGTAGTAGAACCAATCAGATATTTAAAAACAGAACTAAAGCAAAAGCATAAGTCTTAACATGACACATTAAATGACTAAAAAGATTACACAGTAGGATTCTAGTTTCAGAAAGCTAAACACAGCAGCACAGACCACAGTCCCTAATAATTTATGCAAGTAATTTTGTGAGCCATTCAGTACAGTGACTTCTATCGCATGCATACAAAAGCTCTCTGGAATCATCGTTTTGCATGGTTTGCTGACCACCTAGAGAGCGGGAGCCTTCCGGACTTCCTCAGGCAGGGCATGCCTTAAGGTGGGGGCCGCAACATAGAAGCCACAGGTACGGGCAGTTGTCGATTCTGACCATTTCAGGTTGGCTCCTGCAGAAGGCCTCCCACAGGGGAGCGAAGCTGTGGTGGTGGTGCACAGTGGCAGTCTCACAAATATGAAGGTCCAAGCCCATGAAGGGCTGTTCTCTCAAGAGCAGTTCTCTCAGAGCTCTCTCAGTCCCACCTCCCTCACCGGGTGTGTGTTGTGGGGACAGGAAAGGAAGGAGACTGTAAGCCACTCTGAGACTCCGAGTGAAGGGCGGGGTATAAATCCAACTCTTCTTCTTCAGGTCAGAACCGATTCTCTGTTGCTCTCGGCTCCAAGCCCCCTTGCTCATGCCCAGTTTTCAAGGCCGAACCAGTGATCCAGCTGCTTTGGTTCCACTACCTTACTGCAGTCCCCCAGCACTAACCCCTGGTCTTCTTCAGCACAGGGCCTGCTTCAGGCAGAGGCAAAGGTTGCTATTCCCATCTCCATGAAGAACTCGACAGAAGCATGCTTTTCGGAGGCCAGCCTGAGCAGTTTGCCTCTCCTCTTGGTTCAATGGCAGCCTTCAGAACCTTCAGTCATAGTTTGGAGCTTCTGTTTTTCTCTATCAATGATAGACTTGAAACTTTTTTCAACTGGGTACAGACTGTCACGGGAGTCCTTCTTATGTGACACCATTTGTCACACAAGAATGATAGCCAGCATGGTGTACCAGTTGGAGCATTTGGCTAGGATCTGGGAGACCCAAGGTCAAATGCCATTCTGCCGGAAAAGTTGCTTGTGACCTTGGGCCCACTGCATTCTCTCAACCTTATAAAACATCATACGCCACTTGGAGTTCCTGTTGGGGTTAAAGGGGGTACAGATAAACTCCATACCCACTGTTTGAAGGGAATCTTATGTTTCTTGTTAAAAGAGGTGTCCAATCGGACAAAGTCTTTGACAGGCTATGACAATTTCACCCACCCTCAGGATTCCCTTCATCATCTTCATTGCTGAACACCCTGTCCCCCAGCACTAATCCCTGGTCTTCTTCGGCACAGGGCCTGCTTCAGGCAGAGGCAAGGCTTCCTATTGCCACCTCCATGAGGAACTCAACAAAAGCACGCTTTTCGGAGGCCAGTCTGAGCTGCTTGCCTCTCCTCTCACTTCAATGGCAGCCTGCAGAACAATCACTTATTGCTTGGAGCTTCTGTTTTTCAGTATCGATGATAGACCTGGACCTTTTTTCAACTGGGTATAGACTGCCTCTGGAGTCATTCTTATGTGAGGGCTCTTTTTGTAGCAGGAACTCCTTTGCATATTAGGCGACACACCCCTGATGTAGCCAATCCTCCAAGAGCTTACAGAGCTCTTCTTACAGGGGCTACTGTAAGCTCTTGGAGGATTGGCTACATTAGGGGTGTGTCCCCTAATATGCAAAGGAGTTCCTGCTACAAAAAGAGCCCTGTAAACCACTTAGAGCTTTAGGCTAGGATCTGGGAGACCCAAGTTCAAATGCCATTCTGCTGGAAACTTTGCTTGTGACCTTGGGCCCATTGCATTCTCTCTACCTTATAAAACATCTTAAGACACTTGGAGTTCCTGTTGGGGAGTTAGAGGGGGTACAGCTAAACTCCATACCCATCGACTTAAAGGGCATCTCATCTTTCTTCTTAAAACCAATGTCCCATTGGACAGTGTCTTTGACAAGCTATGACAATTTCACCCAACCTCAGGATTCCTTTCATCATCTTCACTGGACAGCCCCTTTTCTTTCTTCTCCCCACCTACCAATGAGTGGATGCCACAAATCGCAGGTAGGTGGGGGAGCAGGGTGATGCCGTGTTGAAGGGTAATCTTTTTGAAGGGGGCATTAGGAAGTTTCACCAATTTGGGGGTCTGAATTACTCCAACCTAAAGGCTTTTGCTTGTAAAATTCTGTCTATGTTTGGGAAACATATGTCTGTGAACAGCTCTTATCTGTAAATGAATGTAAATAAAGCAAAAGTACATTCTCAGTGTCCGGATACATACTTCAACAGCATCCTCAAGTTTGTTACAGCACAGACATCAGCACCATATTTTGAAGCGATGATTCAGAGTAAGAGGTGTCAGACCATTAAATAAAGGAAATACTCTTAATTTTTTAAGGATATTTTGAGTAAAAAATAATACCATTAATTGTGTTTCCGGTGTCCTATCTAAAGTTTATATCTCTGGTACCAGGCATTACATTTTATAGCACATGTGGCCCACACCAACGAAGTGACATTTATGTCAGATCCGACCCTCGTAACAAATGAACTTGACACCTCTGAGCTAAGGAGTTACATTGTGTGGGTTCTTTGATGCTCTTGAACCAGGGCACTGTGGCTGAATCTCCTCCCACACTCTGAGCATTCAAAAGGGTTCTCCCTTGTGTGGGTTCTGTGGCAGAATATGATGTCCTTCAATTGTTATTGTACAGTCAAAGACCAACATAGATAAAATACTACCCCACAAAAAGTGAAAATTGATATTAGTGAAAAATACCACAAATTAAAATAGGCAATAATATAAATCATAATATAAATGGGTGGTATTTACATAATTCCTGATAATGAAAGCAACTGGCTTATTTTATAGGCTGTTGCACAAAATTTTGCAACTGATGTTGTAGTTGTTGGATTTCTGTCTTCTAGGAGTAATCTAACATATCCCAAGCTCATTCATCAAGGTATTCCATTGATCAAAGGAGTGGTGGTCTGGATGCGAGTATCTTGAGAGAAGGGACAAATTAAAAAATGTGATCTACAGTCTCAATTTCTCCTTCATTGCAGGGGCAAAACCTTTTCTAAAACAGCAGAGGAGAGTGCAGCACACCTTGCAAGTGTAAAGGCCCTCCTGTGACTATGCACCTCCAAGAGGGTCGGATAGGCAGCTAGCTTGACTACATATCTGTGTTTCATAGGGACCAAGAAAGTAGGGACCCTCACTAAATCAATTTGGTGTTCAATGTCCAATATACTTTGTTTTATGGCTTGTTTTGCCTGATCAAGGCCCATGGTTAAAATCATGGAAGGTGAAAAGCCCAGGCTTGCAAGTCTGCAGATGACTGTCTTAAGCCATACAGATTGATGTCCATCCAAGAGGAGACCAGTGGGGTCAAACCTTGCTAAAAACTGCTAATCTTAAAACAGTAATTTAGGGAGTCAAGGCACACCTTGGCTTCCACTCTGACAGTGCCGGTCTTCAAACGTAGCAAGGCATGCTCAAAAAGGGCAAAAGGAGACGATGTTGGCCCTATCATAGTTCTGTGGAAGAGTTTTAGGGCAGCAGGGATGTACTATCCACCCTTAGTTCAAAGAATTCTAAGTATATTGTGAGCCGACTCTTACCCAGTATCTGCTGCGTGGGAAACGTGTGCTTTTCTTGAGCCAGAAGCATGGAATACTGCACCAAGATATTTGAAGGCCTGCACCAGTTCAATCAAATGGCCATCGATGGTCCAGGTTCTAGATTTCTGTTTCTTGCCAAAGGCCATAATCTTTTGATAGTTTATTGAAAGTCTTCCTTGCAATGCTGTACTAGAGCCTTTAGGCCTCTACTTAGCACAGCTGGGGTCCTTAACAGAATATCTGCATCATCTGCATATAAGAAGAGATCTGACGATGCTAAAGTACAGGAGAAGGAAAGGCCTGGTCACTTAAGCATTTGACCAAGTCATTTATATAAAAGTTGAAGAGAGCCTGAGTTCCCAAGAACAACCACCCATAGTAAAGAACCCTAATGAGGTTGGGGATCCCTGATACTGGCCTGGACCCCCCGAAGTTCCCTACATGTTTTGAGATGTTCTTGAAGAGTGCTATTGAGACTGAATCTCTTCCCACACTCAGAGCATTCAAAGGGCTTTTCTCCTGTGTGGATTTTTTTATGTTTTTGAAGACACCTACTGTCACTGAATCTCTTCCCACACTCTGAGCATTCAAAAGGCTTCTCCCCTGTGTGGGTTCTTTGATGTTTTTGTAGAGTGCTACTGTAACTGAATCTCTTCTCACACTCTGAACATTCATAAGGCTTCTCCCCTGTGTGGATTCTTAGATGATATTGAAGAGTGCTCCTGTTATTGAATCTCTTCCCACCCTCTGAGCATTCAAATGGCTTCTCCCCTGTGTGGATTCTTAGATGATATTGAAGAGTGCTCCTGTTATTGAATCTCTTCCCACCCTCTGAGCATTCAAATGGCTTCTCCCCTGTGTGGATTCTTAGATGATATTGAAGAGTGCTCCTGTTATTGAATCTCTTCCCACCCTCTGAGCATTCAAATGGCTTCTCCCCTGTGTGGATTCTTAGATGATATTGAAGAGTGCTCCTGTTATTGAATCTCTTCCCACCCTCTGAGCATTCAAATGGCTTCTCCCCTGTGTGGATTCTTAGATGATATTGAAGAGTGCTCCTGTTATTGAATCTCTTCCCACCCTCTGAGCATTCAAATGGCTTCTCCCCTGTGTGGATTCTTAGATGATATTGAAGAGTGCTCCTGTTATTGAATCTCTTCCCACACTCTGAGCAGTCAAAAGGCTTTTCCCCTGAGTGGATTCTTAGATGATATTGAAGAGTGCTCCTGTTATTGAATCTCTTCCCACACTCTGAGCATTCAAATGGCTTCTCCCCTGTGTGGATTCTTAGATGATTTTTAAGAGCGCTACTGGAACTGAATCTCTTCCCACACTCTGAGCAGTCAAAAGGCTTCTCCCCTGTATGGGATCTTTGATGGGTTTGAAGATTGCCACTGTCACTGAATCTCTTCCCACACTCTGAGCATTCAAAAGGCTTCTCCCCTGTGTGGGCTTTTTGATGTTTTTGAAAAGTGCTACTATAACTGAATCTCTTCCCACACTCTGAGCATTCAAAAGGTTTCTCGCCTGTGTGGGTTCTTTGATGTTTTTGAAGACTGCTACTGTCACGGAATCTCTTCCTACACTCTGAGCATTCAAAAGGCTTCTCCCCTGTGTGGGTTCTTAGATGGATTTGAAGCTGGCCACTGCAACTGAATCTCTTCCCACACTCTGAGCATTCAAAAGGCTTCTCTCCTGTGTGGGTTCTTAGATGAATTTGAAGACTGTTTCTGGAGCTGAATCTCTTCCCACACTCTGAGCATTCAAAAGGCTTCTCCCCTGTGTGGGTTCTAAAATGATTTTGAAGAGTGCCACTGCGACTGAATCTCTTCCCACACTCTGAGCATTCAAAAGGCTTCTCCCCTGTGTGAGTTCTTAGATGTTTTTGAAGAGTGCTACTGTCAGTGAATCTTTTCCCACACTCTGAGCATTCAAAAGGTTTTTCTCCTCTGTGGGTTCTTAGATGATTTTGAAGATTGCCACTTCGACTGAATCTCTTCCCACACTCTGAACATTCAAAAGGCTTTTCCCCTGTGTGAGTTCTTAGATGGATTTGAAGACCGCCATTGCGACTGAATCTCTTCCCACATTCTGAACATTCAAAAGGCTTCTCCCCAGTGTGGGTTCTTAAATGTATTTGAAGAGCGCCACTGCGACTGAATCTCTTCTCACATTCTGAACATGCAAAAGGCTTCTCCCCTGTGTGGGTTCTTTGATGTATTTGAAGAGTGCCACTCTGAGTGAATCTCTTTCCACACACTGAGCATTCAAAAGGCTTCTCCCCTGTGTGGGTTCTTTGATGTATTTGAAGAGTGCCACTCTGAGTGAATCTCTTTCCACACACTGAGCATTCAAAAGGCTTCTCCCCTGTGTGGGTTCTTTGATGTATTTGAAGAGTGCCACTCTGAGTGAATCTCTTTCCACACACTGAGCATTCAAAAGGCTTCTCCCCTGTGTGGGTTCTTAAATGTATTTCAAGAGTGCCACTGTCACGAAATCTCTTTCCACACTCTGAGCATTTAAAAGGCTTCTCCCTTCTGTGGATTCTTTGGTGCACAAGGAGCTGTGACCTGTTTTTGAAGTAGTTTCCACACCAAAAGCATTTACATGCATTCATTATACTGTGCTTTGGAAAACGTATATTTCCTTTTCCTTCCACAGGGAACTTCATTCCACTCCCTGAGGAAATAAATAGCTTCCCTCCTGTATGAATCGTTTGGTGTTGAACAAGGTCTGATTTCTCTAAGAATCTCTTGCCACAGTCTGAGCAGCTATAAGGTTTCTTTCCTTTTGGTGTTCTTTGAAGTCTAAGGAGCTCTGGTCTGCGAATCATGGTCTTTCCACACTCCAGCCAGAGATGGGTCTTCTTTCCACTGTGCATTCGTAAGTGGACATTATACTGGGATTGATCTGAGAAGCTAATTCCACACACCAAGCACTTGTGTGTTTCCTTCACCATGTGAATTACTTCTTGGAAATCCCCCCCTTGGCAAGGAATGGGTTTACCCCTCTTCTGGATGATGTGGCTTCTTTTCTGCCTCTTAGGTACAGCTTGGTTTCTCAAGTTTCCTCTCAGGTCTTCATTCTTGACTTCATCTGGCGATAGAGGATGCAGTTCCTCATCCTCCTCATTCCTCTGATCATCCCCTGCTGGAATAAAGAAAGAGATCCTGTTAGAACCGACGCAAGGAGATCTGATCGGCACATGAATTTTAATCCACAAATCCAAATATTACAGTGGCTTTTTCCCGCTGTATGCTAAAGTCTACCATAACATTGTAAAAATACAACAAAAGGGTTTTTTACCCTGGTAGGGCAAAACAAAATTACTAAAAGGGAAAGAGAAAAGGGTTCTCTTCCCAGCTCTCAAAAGGAACAAAAACAAAATACTAAACAGAACCGTTAGGTAGTTCTGCCACCAGGCCCCTTTTTAACTAGTTCCCAACACACCAGGAGAAAGGGGACCAAAGCTCCTGTCTGGTTTTGGAACTTACACAACAAAACAAGTCCGCAGAATGAAGCTGCAGTTCAAAAGTCAAAAAGAGGCAAAAAGCTTTCTGGTAGAGATGTTCTGAACAGTCTAGGCAAACAGAATTTAGGCTTTGAGACTTGGTAACACAAGCAACACACAAAAATATCAAAGGAAAATATGTTTATTTAGGTGCAAGAAACACAAGACACACAGTGGAGGGTAAAACAATAAAGCTTAGCTTACCCAGTCTAACTGAAACATGAGGGAACAATTCAGCATTACCTCTACCAAAGACAGAGTTGCAGTTGGTCAGCATATATAGTAGTAACCTCTTAGCCTATCCAGGCACAAGCAAACTGAAACGCCATAACTGGGGTACTGCACTACTGGACCATACCAGGCTCAGCAGTCACAGACCCAGCGACTCATAACTGAGCTAAAGTTAAACTTTTTTAAAAAAACCCCGAAGGGATATTTTTTTTATTTTGCATTAAACTACAAACTACAAAGAAAATTAGGGAGGGAAACTACAACTAGGGATAAAGGAAAGAAAACCACACTAGACTAAAAACCCAAGAGGGGGAGATCTTATTTCTGTTAATGTAAACGTTAGTACCACAAGTGTTAGTATCACAATATACTTGTAGAGTTCCTGCTCATCTTCCCTGTTTATATGTTGTTTTGTTAGTTGTTATGAAAAAACTTTCTGATCATCTTCGTGTTCTTCGCTTCAAAAGGCCAAATTACATAAGAACATAAGAGACGCCAATGTTGGATCAGGCCAAAGGCCCATCCAGTCCAACACTCTGTGTCACACAGTGGCCAGAAATACCAGTGCCATCAGAAGGTCCACCAGTGAGGCCAGGACATTAGAAGCCCTCCCACTGTTGACCCCCCCCCCAAGCACCAAGAAGACAGAGCATCACTTGCCCCCAGAGTCCCTATTTATACCTTGTGGCTAATAGCCACTGACGGACCTCTGCTCCATATGCCTATCGAATTCCCTTTTGAAGACGTCCATGCTTGTAGCCGCCACCACTTCCTGTGGCAGTGAATTCCAAGTGTTAATCACTCTTTGGGTGAAGAAGTACTTCCTTTTATCTGTTCTAACCCGACCGCTCAGCAATTTCATGGAGTGCCCACGAGTTCTTGTATTGTGAGAAAGGGAGAAAAGTACCTCTTTCTCTACCTGCTCTTTCCCATGCATAATCTTATAAACCTCAATCATGTCACCCCTCAGTCGCAATGCATGGCTAGGAATAAATACAGTGAAGCAACATGTTGAATACCGGCAAACAGATTGATGACTTACTGAACCAGTCCTCGAAAAATCGTCCCTGCTTGTGATCAGTGAACAGAGCATGAGCCAAACTGGCAGGTGTTCATATGTCCCTAGCCAGGAGTAATTGAAAGTGGAGTCTATCTTCTCTCTTTTGTCGTTAATCTTAAAGATGACACCTTCCGGGATCACCCACCTGTACGTTATTCCATTAGTTTGAAGAAAAGCAATTGTCCTTGTGATTTTTCCTCTTTTGCTGAATTTCAAATGGAATGTCTTTTAAAGTCTTGATAGTTACATTTGCCATTTTCAGTGGAGTTGCTGATGTCGCTTTTAAAATAGCATCCCTAGTCTGTCTTCTTGAGAATCTGACCACAATTTCTCCAGGTAGGCTGGGGTTTTTTTTATATAGTTGGAGTATGCCCTATAGGCCACCTCCATATCTTTTACCAGTTCATCCGCTGTAAAGCCTATTACTGGAGCAATGTTCTCACTAAGCAACCTCCTCAGGTCCTCTTTCTCTGTTTCAGGAACTCCCTGGAACCTGAGAATCATGTTAGCTTTTTCCATCTGTAATTGAAGTACACGGTTTTCTTGAAGATTCTGCTTTATTTCTACTTCTCCCATTCTTTTCTTCAACTTCTTATTTGTGGTGTCCATCTCTTTGATTTTCTCATTAGCCTCCTCCACTTAGTTTTCCGTTTCATTCAGCTGGAGCTGTTGCGATGCAAAGTTCTTATTCATCACAGTCAGTTGCTGGTTAATACCATCGAGTTACTCCATCACCGGTTTGAGCATATCTGCTAGTAATTAAATGACATCTGCTCCCTCTTCTGGTTTGGGACTCTGACTGCCTGGCGGTTTCATTTTCAACTTTGCACGCTGGGCTGCCATTTTCCCGATTTGTTTACACTTCCTGCCACTTCTTCCCGACTCGAAAAATTTGCCCCACGATGTCAAGAATCAAGTAAGTCTCTCACAACACGCATGCTGCTTTCCTCCCCTCTCCCCCTTCGCGTTGTTTATCGGTTACTTTGCATAAGAGGTGTCCCTCTTTGCGTCCGTTTCTTCCCACATGGGGGGGGGAATCCGCTTTTTTATTAGTCTGTTTTATTCAGAACTCACATTCATTGTCGGTCAGTTTCTCTAACCCCGCTGCATTTTAATGATATTCCACTCGATCTCCGACGCTTGTCCCAGTCAAACTAGCTTGTGCCCGAAGGCCACACAGTGACTGGACCGTCAAGGTGGAGAAGAGCCTCGATTTTCCAGCATTACACCATCGAAGAGGCTACCCCTCAAAAGCCCTCTGGCCTGGCGCCTATCGCAAAGGCTCCGCAGGGGTGTCACTTGAGGTGACACCCCTCCAGGCCGCTGGTGTGCGATTCGCCCTCCCGCGGTCCGGGGAGAGCATCTGCCATCGCTGCTTCATAAACCGGAAGTCAGCTAAAGTTAAATTTATAGGAAAAATGGTCTCTCATCAGGTTGGCCTTACCGATTGAGGGGCCAGAAAAGTGATGTCAGTTTTTCAGGTTGCCATGCTAACAGCAACCCAGAATAATCAGAATAACACATAATAATCTTTATCCCATAATATGCAGGGAGGAGGGATTGAAAGTTACTCAACTGTATAACCTCCGGTCCGCCCACATGCAGGTGTTGCAGGGTTAATTGGATGGAATGTGCCTAACGGTCAGCACCCAGACCTTGCTTATTGTATAGGATCCTGACCCTCAAGCCTGTCCAGGTATGAGATGGAATCCTATATTTGTTCAATACATTAAACAACAACCCAGAGAGGTAGGCTACCCTCTCTGGATTCAGAACAATATGCCACCAGAATCTCTACAATAATCTATAATCCCCTCCAGCTCAGAGCAGAGATTCAAATCTCTGAGCTGGCATGTGGGACTTAACACCTTAGTAACTCTACTCAGAACTGCACAATATTTAACCTTAATGGTAGCGTGTAGCCAGCTAGGCACAGGAAAATAGACTTGGAATCCTAGTTACAACATCAGAGACCATTTAGAAACCAGAATAAGTTTATTCAGTACAGAATTTAGCATAGACCAGAAAAGATTTCAAAATAACAAGCCTAAGGCAGTTTGCCTTAACTAAACATTAATGGTTCATATTTACCAAGTCAGGAGCAATTATCAGTCCAAACAGTCCATTGTGATAATCCAGTAGCACCAAGGGATTTGGAGCAAGAATCCCATCTTTGCCAACCATGTGCTCAGCTCACCAAGCAGTTCTTCGTTCCACCTGGGACAGCATTTCCAGGTGCAATTCAAACAAGTAGAGAGAGAGCAGAAACAGAGAGCTCTCTTCCAAGGGACCAGACAATTAAACCCCAATATAATCATGACTAGCCGTGGCCATGCAGCCAATCATGAGTAGCAGGGTATGTGGCCAATTTTTTGGTTGTCATGGGTACAACTGGGGATAGGCTGGAAGTATGGAAACCACGCCTGCAGTCACATGGCCCCCAACTCCAGCTTCTCTATCGACTACATGACCTCTGGCATGTTTGGCAGAGGCCATCTGGTCTCTCCCAGCATGGAAGTGTGAAGAATGTGGGTTTATGGCATGGCAATTGAGGCCATCTGGCCTTAGCATTTGGCTTGTAAGAGGAAACAAGGCACAGCGTTATCAAAGACAGAACAGAAGAAGGCAGGAGGCTATGCTTGGTTTTGAATCTAACCACTTATATGGTTTCCCAACTGTGTAACTTTTTAATGTAAAGTAAGGACTCTTTTTGGACTGAAGCTCTTTCCACACTGCAAACTATTACATGGTTTCTCTCCTAAGGGAATTTGTGTCTGCAAAATGATGGTCATTCTCTGACTGAAGGTCTTTGCCAAGGCCACACTTTCCATTTCCCTGGAGTGGATTGTTTGGTTAGGATGGAGGCCTTTGTGCCTTCTCTTTTTGACTGACCCTTCTTCTTGGACTGGGATTTCACGGAAACTCCCTACTCAGTAAGGAATGGACTTATCCCTCCTCTTACCTGCTTGGCTTCCCTCCTGCCTCTGGGGTCCATCTCCATTTCCGAAGTGTCCTTCAGCATCTTCATTTTTGACTTTTTCCAAAGAGAACCTCTGGAATTCCCCAGCTGTCTCCTCTACATCTGCTCCTGGAATAAAGTAAGAGTTTCAATCATCACCCAGGCAAGAAGCCAAGGCATGAGCCAGGCACTGCTCAGGAATGGGGGTGCATTTCTCTTATCCAATCATCTTTCCTCCCAAACTGAGATGCTGGTCACACCTTATCCCTGCCAGGCCCTCCTGTAGAGCTGCTTTTATATTCGGTAGGTCCCTCCCCTCCCCAAGTTCCCCATATCTATTTTAAGGGGGAATGTGGAAAAATATTGTCCGTCCACCCCCCGTTCCCATTTGACTTACCGTGCTTTTTGACTTTTTATTCTCTGCACTTGACGATTAAATACAAAAAGTTATCAAGAGATCCAGTCCTGCAACTGCACTGAGAGTTTCCTTCCAGTTGCCAACACAGCCAGATGGAGCTGGTTTTCAGCCTCCCCGAAATGCATGTTTTCCAGGTGGGAGGAGGGAATCCAGGAGCTCACCAACTGAACCCCACAGTTCATAGGGGGCCCCCATGGTTTTTGGAAAAGGTGCCGTTTGTTGGGAGGGGCAGGTAATGACAAATGAAAAAAAAAACAGCCTTGCAGTGTAGGGGCACCTTTCTCAAGGTCAGAGCCATTTTTCTGTAATTTCTGAGTTGTTCTCTGCACCTTAGCTGGGCCTCTCTATTGCCTAAAGCACAGCCATTTCGGAATCATCCAGGCAGTTCTGCCTTTCCTAGAAGCACAGAGTCAGCCTGTCTCTCTGGAATGAAGTATATTTTATTGTCAGCAACAGAGAGCCAGAAGACTGATTAGCAGGTGTCAACGTCATCAACTCCTAACAGTAGACTAAGGCCCTCTGGAAGCCCATCCCAGAGGAAAACGCAGAGTCAAAAAGTCCAGGTAAGGCCCCAGAAGAGTCTGTCCTGTTCCATCCTCCCAAAATACCTGAAGGACGCAGTGACCACACAGTAAGCATGCAGTTATCCAGGTGTTCAGCACGACCAGGGTGATGGAATCTAAACGTGGGGAAGTGAATCTGGCAGACCCTTAGAGCAGTAGAGGGTTCTCATGGTTGTTAACCTTCTTCCCTGGGGACAGGGGGAGATGGTGCTGGCCGGGGTTGGAGGAACTCGGGCATCGGGGCATGCTGAGTGGACAGGTATTCCTGGCTTTTCTCTGTGTTTGTGCTTTTCTTTGGCAGATGGTTTCCTGCCTCAAGGGGCTGGAAGGGATTTAGCCTTTGGGAAGGAGTTGGTTGCTTGCCTCTTGGGGAGACAGAGGGTGGCTACAGTGCTTTCTCTATCGTGTTGTGCAAACTGTGCTTCAACTGAGAACCTGAGGCTGTCTTTACTGGGCTGACAGTTTCAGTGGGAATATCTTCAATAACGTAATCCCACTTTCTTGGGGTAAGGACTGACTCCCGTCATCACAACAGAAAGTGCTGTGTGATTTGGCATAAGCCTCTTGCCCTTGGGTGGCAGTGTTAACTGGTGGGACTACCCGCTGCAGGTCACCTCTGCAAGGTAGAACAGCTCCAAATAAAACACTCAAACAGATCTACAACTAATACTAAGGCCTGAAAGCATCCAGGGGACCACTGTAGGAATGGCTTGAGTGATGCCCACTACACTTGCCATGCTGAACCATCATTTTCACTACCACCCCCAACTCCTTGAGGCCCCCAGCGGGGGTGGGGGGAAGGTAGCCAGGCAGTCCTCACAACCACATGTAGCTGTTCAATATTTTGATTCATGCATCGTCCCAGTCGCAGCTATTTTCCCCTTTGGCACCCATGAAAGGTCCTTACCCAGAGAGGCCACGCTCCCATAGTTCTCCAGCATGACGTCTCTGTAGAGGGCTCTTTGGCCAGGAGCCAGCAAGGCCCACTCCGCCTCGGTGAAACACACGGCCACCTCCTCAAAGGAAAAGGGAGGCTGAAAGGAGAAGCAGATCCCCTCGTCAGAGATCAGTCCAGGCAGAGACTACAATCTCCACGGGGGCATTCTGGGAGGGTGCAGGAAGTAGAGTTTGGCATGCATCAAGAGGGTGGGGTTCAGAGCTTGTCTCTCCTTGGCCAGAAGGATCAAAGGCCTCCCTGAGAAAGGAGGGGGGACCTGACTATCCCCCAGTCTTCCCCCCTTACCTGGACCAGAGGTGGAGCAGCCGGTTCCAGTCCTCTGAAAAGATGACAGGTTGACAACATCTCTTCACTGCCTGCAAAGGAAACAAAATTGGAAGGATAAATGTTAACCTCAAGTTCCTCTTGTTTTTGCTTCTTTGAATTCTGCTTCACCCATCCCTGTTCCCAGGGTTGTGACATCATGTCTTTTTTTTCCTTTTTTTAAGATCAAAGTTTTTTTTCCTACCAGCATATAAAAACGTACTGCACATCAAACAACCAAAACAAAAATAAAAATACTCTAAGGACTAACATATGTCGTTTATACAGAATAAACGTTCTGGAAATTGATCTTTTTCAGTAGTTCTGGTTATGTCTTAATGGACATGACTAATTCAGCTTAAGTGTTTTAACCAAATACTGTACAGTTTAATAAATAGATCAAACAAAGCCTCAATGTAGAACTGTTGGGTGCTAGTGAGATATTGAAAAAATGGTATTTAGCAGAGATAAGATGGTCCAGCAGTGCTGGAGTAAAATAATTCAGACTCAGAGTCCATGTGTGATTAAAATATAAAATTTTTACTAAATTCTAGCGTGGGAAGGGTAACTGGGATGAAAATAACAACAGAGCAGAATCCGCTACATCCTTACTCTACAAAGACAAAGCTAGAAGAGCGAGATTATGGCTACTCTTCTTCTCCTTCAGAACACCAAAAAAAAAAGACGGGGAAGAGAGCCATAAAATGCTAATACACCTTGACACTTTAGTCCCAATCAAATTCCTAGATCAGGGAGAAAATTCCCGGGTATTCTACAGCTAAAGAACATTGGTTACAAGAAAAACATGTGACTTCCTGTAACATAAACAAATATTTAACCCCAGATATACTGAGTGTTTTCAACTTCTAATACCCAACAAGAACAGTCACTGCCAATGTCGCCCAGTATCCCTGCAGATTGAGAATTTAATAAATGTATTTCAGTGGCCTACAGTTTTTTCTCCCCACACTACATACAGCATTTCAAAAAACATATATTAAAACAGACCAGTTTCCAGACTAAACTAATTGAGAAATTACAATTCAGTGCAAAAGTTTTTAGACTGCATTTTTCTAGTTTTCATCAGGTGAAGAAGTGGTTGCATATTATTAAAAATGTAAGAAAAGCAGCTAATGCTTTTATAAAGAAGGTTACATTAGGAATCTTACCCACCCACATCTCTGCCGTATTTTGAAAACAAAATAACATTTCCTATAGCCAGCAATTTGTTTTATTGAAATATTACATGTACTATTCTCAAGGCACATCTGATGGCATTTATAGCACAGTAGGTGTCAAAAGGTATGTTTCGGCGTTGGAGTTCTTCAGGATCCCTCCCATTTCTGTTTCCCAAAACAGAGGAACTGAAAGTAAAGTATTCCCCTTTTCTCCTGTCCTGAACCTTCTGCCCAACGACTGGACTAGGTGCCCCGATCCCATCTAGGCTGAAGGCTCTCTTACCGCTTGAGAGGGCATCTCGGGCATCTTCCTGGGCACACGGCGCCCTCTGCCCTTCCTCTGACGGAGCTCCTTCTGCCTCTGAGTGCTTCGCTTCCATCTTCACAGGTCGTCCCCACATCTGAAACAACAACGGCGGAGGCAGGTAAGAGGAGGAATGGAAATATCTAGTGGAATATCTAGAGGTAGAAATATCTAAGAAAATATGGGAACGGTACACTGAGGAATTATACTAAGAAGATGAAAGGATGACAGATTCCTTCCCAGAAGAATCTTTTGAAAAAGAAGCAGCAACGATTTTAGAAAGTAAAGGGGAAACTGCACTGAGAGCAATGGGGAGAAACAGATCACCAGGGGTAGATGGGATATCAATAGAACTATTCCAAGGCACAGAAAAGGAGTCCTTCAAAGTCTTAACAAGAATATGCTAATGAAGATGGAAAGCAAAACAATGGCCCACAGTCTGGAAACACTCACTTTACATATACATTCTATAGTGACTACGGTACCCTCACATTAATTTCTCACGAGAGTAAAGTGATACTCAAAATCTTACAATAAAGACAGTTACCATACCTGGAATGAGAAACGCCAGATGCTGAAGCTGGAGGACAAGGTACTTGAGATCATATTGCAAATTCAGGTCAGGTATTGGAGCATACGAGATAATATTAGAAGGAAATCAGCTTGTGTTTCATAGATTACAGCAAAGCTTTGGACTGTGTGAACCATGAGAAGGTGTGACTGATTTTAAAAGAAGCGAGTCTGCCACAAGAACTGTTTGCACTGATGCGCAGCCTGTACTCTGAACAAGAGGCCAGTGTTAGGACAGAAAATGGAGAAACAGAATGGATTCCAAACTGGCAAACATTTCAGACCACAATGTATCTTATCACCCTTTCTCTTCAATCTATATGCAGAACATATCATAAGGAAAGGTGGATTCGATTTAGATGAAGGAGGAGTGAAAAATAGCAGAAGGAACAGTAACTATTGGAGATATGCAGTTGACATCACATTACTGGCAGAAAATAGTGAAGTCTTGAAACAACTACTCATGTAAGTTAAAGCAGGAAGCGCCAAAGTGGGATTAAAGCTAAACATCAAGAAGACAAAAGTCTGAAATTGCAGAAATGAAATGGCTCAAGACTGTCTGTTCCTTGGCTCCATCGTCAACCAAACGGCAGACAGGAAGCAAGAAATCAGGAGACTGAGGCTGGGAAGGGCAGCCCAGAAGGAGCTAGAAAAGATTCTCCAGTGTGAGGATGTGTCACTGGTGACCAAGACTGAGTTAATTTTTTATTAGTACATGTTGGAGGAGGAGGAGAATTGGATTCATATCAGTCAGGGTCCCAGTCAACTCACTCTTTGCACACACCTTCTGGTTTGAAAGATTTATTTGAAGATATGAGATGTGCAGGGATTGAACTCTTTTGTCAGGGTGACGGGCGGGAAAAGGGCATATAGATAAAAACCACACATTCCATTCGTTCACGTCAGCAAGCCTACTCAGACCGTGAGAGTTATGGTAGTTTTCTCCCAAGGACAGCTTCCCGTGTGAAAGAGTCTCTTGAGGGCTTCTTTGGAAAGTTCCCCAAGCAAGCAAGTCTACTCCTACACGCACACACACTTCCCCCCCCCCAGGAATGCATTGTCAGGCTAGGGTGGGAGATAACAGCATCAATGCCGAATTGACGCCCAAGCAGAGGGAGAGGGGGACAGGAGGGGGGAAGGTACAACAACAGGAAAGAAAAATGCAAGAGACATTAACCCATCAAAGCACTGAACAACAGGTACATACGGTTAGGCAGCCCGAACCTGACAATATCCTGCCCTTTCCTCAGAGTCTGAGAGCAGCTTACAATCCCCTTCCCTCCCTCTCCCCACAACAGACACCCCATGAGGTAGATGGGGCTGAGAGAGCTCTGAGAAAACTGCTCTTGAGAGAACAGCTACTGACTCAAGGTCACCCAGTGGCTGCATGTCGAGGCGTGGGGAATCAAACACCGTTCTGCAGAGTAGCATCCGCTGCTCTCAACCACTAAAACCACTACACCAAATTGGCTCCCAGTTGTGGTATTAAGGGAGAGTTTCTATTGATACTATGGAGCCCCTAAAAGACAAATCAGTGGGGTCTAGATCAAATCAAATCTCAACTCTCCCTAGAAGCTAAAATGATTACAATTAAGGCAGCCGTACCTTGGTGACATTACGAGTAGACAAGAGTCACTGGGAAAGACAATAATGCTAGAAAAAGTTGAAGGCAGAAGGAAAAGAAGAAGACCAAACATGGGATGGATTCACTCATTCAGGGAAGCCACGGCCCTCAGTTTGTAAGACCCAAGGAAGGCTCTTAACAATAGGACGTTTTGGAGGACATTAATTCACAGGGTCGCTACAAGTCGGAAGCAAAGTGATGGCAGTGAACACGCGCGCACACACGCAGAAATATTTGACAGGGGAGACTTAGGATGAGGTCACTGCTTGAACGGAGTGCATGAAAACCCCTCACCTGCTCTGCCTGCCTCTTCTCCTCCTCCTGACTCAGAAGGAAACCTTCGGCCAGGGCCACCGCCTGGGAACTGGTCTCCGGGCCACATCCTCTGACCCAGCACTGCATGTCCTGGGGCAGGACGGCCAGGAACTGCTCCAGGATCACCAGGTCCAGGATCTGCTTCTTGGTGTGCCTCTCCGGCTTCAGCCAGTGGTTGCAAAGTCCATGGAGCTGGCTGCAAACCTTCCGGGGCCCATCGGCCTCCTGGTAACAGAACTGCCGGAAACTTTGGCTGCATGTACCTGTGCTCATAGTGTTCTGAGCCAAGGACTCTGGCTGAGCTCTATCCCAAATTTCAGCAGCACTCGCAGCTGGGATGGGATGGGGAGGTTTTCTTGATGTCTTGCCAGTTCCGGGGCCTTCTGGGTCCTCCAGTTCCATCTCCTCCCCCTTTCTCTTGGGTTGCCTCTGACTGTGGAAAGACACCCTTATTCACTTGCCTATGAAGAAGGAAAGATCAAAAAGGCAGAAAGAAACCAAAAGAGAACTGAGTTATATCAGGTCAGAAGGAATGACCATGTTGTAGTTTGCAGATCAGGATTAACGTCATTGGGTTATACTCTGTGTCAAGCTTTTTAGGTTATGGTTGTTTGGTCCTTCAGGAAAGAAAAACATCTCTGTTGGGCTCTTTAAAAATCTGCTGTGGACGTCATGCGCTTGGCCTCTGGTAGCTGGGGAGCAGTCTGTTTAGTGGGTGCAGGTAAGCTGAAGCCCAAGGCACAAAGCGACTGGTAAGAGCTTAACCCCTGCAGAGAGCTCCTCAATAGGCCAGGAAGGCTGGGCAAGAGCTCTGCCCAGGAAGCCGCCAGCAGGGGGGAAGGGGCAGAGGGGCCTCTCCCGGTCAGGGCACAGGGACTGCTGGGGGGCAAACAGGAACTGGAGGAGGCGGGGATGTGGCAGAGGTCCTCACCTGCTTCCTGGCTGCTGTGTTTCAATGGCGAAGAGTGAACAAGTTGAAAGTGAACTGACTAGATCAATGACCTGTACATTACAAAATACCAATTCAGACACTCCAGCTGGTGGAGAA